GGGCCTCTCGTAAGTGATGTCCTCGATGTCTGAACTGCTCAGGGTGAACACAAGATCCAGTCTTGCTGGCTCATCCTCCCCTCTCTCTCTGGTTGTGTCCCTGACATGTTGATGCATGAGGTTTTCAAGTACCACATCCATCATCTTTGCTCTCCATGTTTCGGGACCCCCATGTGGCTCCAGGTTTTCCCAGTCGATCTCCCTGTGGTTGAAATCGCCCATTAACAGTAACTTTGCTCTGCTCGAGTGAGCTCTTCTTGCCACCTCAGCCAGTGTGTCCACCATCACCGATGTTGTTTTCTTCGTACTCCTCTCTTGGCCTCCTGCAGTTCTGTGGTGGGTTATACATCACTCCAATGACTACTTTATGTTCTCCGGACTGAATTGTACCTACAATGTAGTCTCTTTCTCCAATCATGTCCATGCCTTCCATTTCCTCAAATCCCCATTGGTGTTTTATGAGCAGTGCAACCCCTCCTCCCCCTCTACTCCTTCTATCTTTCCTCAGGATCTGATATCCTGTTGGGAAGATTGTGTCTGTTATTATCTCAGCGAGTTTTGTTTCTGTGACTGCTATGATGTCTGGGGATTTTTCACTGATTCTTTCATTCCACTCCTCATGTTTATTCATTATTCCATCCGCATTTGTGTACCAAACCTTTAGTTTCTTTTCTATCATTGTGGTCATGCAAGTATATTGGGGTTGGGGGGGGAGAGCCTTGGGTGGGGCCTATATGGGGCTCTGGTGTAGGTGGGGTATGTGTTGATGGGGGTGGGGTCAGAATGCCCATAAGGGACAGCTGTTGGGGTGAGGTTTGTGGTATGAGGTTTGTGTGTGTGTGTGTGTGTGGTGTGTGTGTGTGTGTGGGGTGTGTGTGTGTCGTGCGGAATAAGTAAAATTGGTCAATTAGCAAGAATTCGGTTAAAATTAAGTCCTTCTTAAATTTTTCTCTTATTCTTTTAAAGATACATTTTTTTATTTATGTTAATGTAAATATTAACAACTTTTGTACCAAAAGAACCTTAGAAAACTTACCTAACCTTATTATAACAAGCGCAATTTAATTTAGCCTAATCCAACTAAATATATTTTAGATAAGTTTACAATAATTTAATAATAAATAAACACAATGAAACATATTTTATTCGTTAGGTTCAAAATGATTTTTGCGAAATTATTGCATACATAAATTTTTGCTTGCCTTATTCGGCAAGAAGAGCATTGTTATTTAAGCTAAAATCGCAAGTTTTTACCTCTTCGGCACGACATATATATATATTATATATATATATATATATATATATATATATATATATATATATATATATATATATATATATATATGTTGTGTGGAAAAATTCAACCACCAAAAGTTTTAAAGGATTTTTTGAGTAATATTAAAATTGAATTTTTCTATAAAAAACGGATTATCTCACCCAATTTGTGAAGAACAACCTCAAGAAAATAAAAATACTCGCTTTCATTTGATTATTCCAAAATTATATATATATATATATATATATATATATATATATATATATATATATATATATATATATATATATATATATATATATATATATATTAATGGTCGAAGGAATACACACAGTCAAAAGTGGTCATTTAGGTTAAGAGAAGTTAGAGGATTGTGTGGGCGCCTCGAGTGACAGGTGAAAAATGTGTTGAGAGTTGCTGAGCAGTATTGAAGGTTCAGTGATCCTCTCTCTGAGGGCCACTGACACCCACGGGTGCCAGGGTCTCCCCTGGTACCCGTGAATCCTGTACTGACGCAGCTGGATCTAGTTCCTGACACCAGTGGCTTTACTCCCTCACACCCGTGTCTCTGCTCCCTGACATTCGTGGCTCTGTTCCCTGACATCCGTGTCTGTTTCCTGACGCCCGTGGCTCTGCTCCCTGACATCCGTGACTCTGCTCCCTGACATCCGTGGCTCTGCTCCCTGACATCCGTGGCTCTGCTCCCTGACATCCGTGGCTCTGTTCCCTGGCATCCGTGGCTCTGCTCCCTGACATCCGTGGTTCTGCTCTCTGTCATCCGTGGCTCTGCTCCTTGACGCCCGTGTCTCTGCTCCCTGACATCCGTGACTCTGCTCCCTGACATCCGTGACTCTGCTCCCTGACACCCGTGTCTCTGCTCACTGAGACCCGTGTCTCTGCTCCCTGAGACCCGTGTCTCTGTTTCTTGACGCCCGTGCTCTGCTCCTTGACGCCCGTGGCTCTGCTCCCTGACACCCGTGTCTATGTTTCTTGACGCCCGTGGCTCTGCTCCTTGACGTCCGTGGCTCTGCTCCCTGACACCCGTGTCTCTGTTTCCTGACGCCCGTGGCTCTGCTTCCTGACACCCGTGGCTCTGCTCCCTGGCATCCGTGGCTCTGCTCCCTGACATCCGTGGCTCTGCTCCCTGACATCCGTGGCTCTGCTCCCTGACATCCGTGGCTCTGCTCCCTGACATCCGTGGCTCTGCTCCCTGACGCTCTTTTCTCTGCTCCCTGACATCCGTGTCTCTGCTCCCTGACACCCGTCTCTCTGTTTCCTGACGCCCGTGGCTCTGCTCTCTGACGCCCGTGGCTCTGCTCCCTGACACTCGTGGCTCTGCTCCCTGACACTCGTGGCTCTGCTCCCTGAGACCCGTGTGTCTGTTTCTTGACGCCCATGACTTTGCTCCTTGACGCCCGTGGCTCTGCTCCTTGACGCCCGTGTCTCTGCTCCCTGACACCCTTGTGTCTGCTTCCTGACACCCGTGTCTCTGCTCCCTGACATCCGTGGCTCTGCTCCCTGACACCCGTGTCTCTGTTTCCTGACGCCCGTGGCTCTGCTTCCTGACACCCGTGGCTCTGCTTCCTGACACCCGTGGCTCTGCTCCCTGACATCCGTGGCTCTGCTCCCTGACATCCGTGACGCTGCTCCCTGACGCCCGTGTCTCTGCTCCCTGACACCCGTGTCTCTGCTCCCTGACATCCGTGGCTCTGCTCCCTGACATCCGTGACACTGCTCTCTGACGCCCGTAGCTCTGCTCCCTGACGCCCGTGGCTCTGCTTCCTGGCACCCGTGGCTGTGTTCCCTGACACCCGTGGCTCTGCTCCCTGACACCCGTGGCTCTGCTCCCTGGCATCTGTGGCTCCGTTCCCTGACACTCTTGGTTGTGTTCCCTGACACCAGCGGCTGTGTTCCCTGACACCCGTGGCTGTATTCCCTGACACCCGTGGTTGTGTTCCCTGAGACCCGCGGCTATGTTCCCTGACACCCGCGGCTGTGTTCCCTGAGACCCGCGGCTGTGTTCCCTGACACCCGCGGCTGTGTTCCCTGACACCAGCGGCTGTGTTCCCTGACACCCGTGGCTGTATTCCCTGACACCCGTGGTTGTGTTCCCTGAGACCCGCGGCTATGTTCCCTGACACCCGTGGTTGTGTTCCCTGAGACCCGCGGCTGTGTTCCCTGACACCCGCGGTTGTGTTCCCTGACACCCGCGGCTGTGTTCCCTGACACCCGCGGCTGTGTTCCCTGACACCCGCGCCTGTGTTCCCTGACACCCGCGCCTGTGTTCCCTGACACCCGCGCTGTGTTCCCTGACACCCGCGGCTGTGTTCCCTGACACCCGCGGCTGTGTTCCCTGACACCCGCGCCTGTGTTCCCTGACACCCGCGCCTGTGTTCCCTGACACCCGCGGCTGTGTTCCCTGACACCCGCGCCTGTGTTCCCTGACACCCGCGGCTGTGTTCCCTGACACCGCGCCTGTGTTCCCTGACACCCGCGCCTGTGTTCCCTGACACCCGCGGCTGTGTTCCCTGACACCCGCGCCTGTGTTCCCTGACACCCGCGGCTGTGTTCCCTGACACCCGCGCCTGTGTTCCCTGACACCCGCGGCTGTGTTCCCTGACACCCGCGCCTGTGTTCCCTGACACCCGCGCCTGTGTTCCCTGACACCCGCGGCTGTGTTCCCTGACACCCGCGGCTGTGTTCCCTGACACCCGCGCCTGTGTTCCCTGACACCCGCGGCTGTGTTCCCTGACACCCGCGCCTGTGTTCCCTGACCCCGCGCCTGTGTTCCCTGACACCCGCGGCTGTGTTCCCTGACACCCGCGCCTGTGTTCCCTGACACCCGCGGCTGTGTTCCCTGACACTAGATGCCTGGTCTTCATCGTGACAGTTTAAGTGTGAGAGAAAGAATTACAGAGGTAAAAAAATCGAGTCAGTGTCAGTTCACTGGACACCTGCAGTTCTTGGCTCAATTCTCGGGCCACCCGTGGCTCGATTCGTGGTCCACCTGCCAGCCGTGGCTCGATTCCTGGTCCACCTGCCAGCCGTGGCTCGATTCCTGGTCCACCTGCCAGCCGTGGCTCGATTCCTGGTCCACCTGCCACCCGTGGCTCGATTCCTGGTCCACCTGCCACCCGTGGCTCGATTCCTGGTCCACCTGCCACCCGTGGCTCGATTCCTGGTCCACCTGCCAGCCGTGGCTCGATTCCTGGTCCACCTGCCAGCCGTGGCTCGATTCCTGGTCCACCTGCCAGCCGTGGCTCGATTCCTGGTCCACCTTTGGTTCAGTGCCCCTCACCACACCTGTGATTCCCCTGACCACACCTGTCATGCCCCGTGCTGCACCTGTCATGCCACCTCGCGCATCCGGAGTGTCTTGGGCTACCTTCCCAGGACACAATTTTTCCTGCGCTTAGAGCAAGGTTTACCATTGTCCTTGTGAGTTACCGCCCCCTCACCCACACACACACACACACCACACACACACAGAGGACCTAGTAGCAATCAGCGAAGAGGCGGGGCCAGGAGCTGTGATTCGACCCCTGCAACCACAAATAGGTGAGTACAAATAGGTGAGTACACACACACACACACACCACACACACACACACACACACTACTAAGAATATTTAAGGTGTGTTAGCGGTGCCTAAAATACCTTGGCTGACGTCTCCTCTGATATTCAGGTGACGTGGGTGAAATATTTCAGAATTAATTACTTCAAAAATAAATTGGCATAAATTTTATTTAAAGTGAATAGAAATCTTACTCTGGTAAAAATAGAAAATTAATTTAGGTATATATGTGACAAAAATACTTTAGTCTTTGATAAGAGTTGGTCGTTGAAGCGAGAGAGAAATATATTTACCTGGGAAAAAAATATATTTGTCAGTAAGATAGTTACAATTTTGGAAACAACTGAAAAATACTTAATCAGGAAAAAAATCAGTTTGTGTATGGAGGTTGTATAGAAGAATCAGCAAGGTCAGCAGGGCAGTATAGAGGACTTACAGCTCTATGAGACCTTTAGCTGCGACCTTCTTGTACAGTGGCGCCTGCAGGCTGTGTTGTGGTCAGCCTGAAGGTGGCCGAATATGACGGAGGTGGTGGCGCAGAGCTGCGGCTGCGACTCCAGTAGTCGAGCCCAAACTGCGGCCGCTGCGGCCTTCCTTGGCCCCAGAGGTACTACTGCGGCCGCTTCGGTCTTACCTGGCCCCAGAGGTACTACTGCTCACAGCTGGCGCCTCCACCTGCTTACTGGCGGAGCACCTACTGAGGACTTGCCTTCCCGGAGCCTAACTCAGGGACATCATCCTGCCAGGGGCGTGGCAAGCAGGACTCTCACTCAAGAACTCTCCTTACTGCTGCTACTGACGGAGGCTCTTACCACCACCACCACCACCACTATGCTCTGCTACGTGAGTTACTCCACTCTTTGTAGAGTTTTCATATTTCGCTCATTATCTAAGACCCTCTTCTGCACAGTAAAAATTAAAAGGGATGTGAGTTATACACACAGACTTGTGAATTAAGTCCATCGTATATGAGCTGCCTCCCTTCTGTACTTTTTACTGTGCTGTAGATGGTCTCATTTTGGGCCGAAATATATACTGTTTACATTCTGTTTTATGTCTTCCATGTGGGTTGTGTCCCTGATCAATGTTTATTGCACTTTTTGTGTTTGATTTTTAAAAATGTTTATGTATTTTAATTTAAAAGGGAAATTTGTGAATTCAGAGAGATGTTTACTGGTGTCAAAGATTCTGATCTCTGGGAGATGTTTATGTAAGACCTCTGGGAGATGTTTATGTAAGACCTCTGGGAGATGTTTATGTAAGATCTCTGGGAGATGTTTATGTAAGATCTCTGGGAGATGTTTATGTAAGATCTCTGGGAGATGTTTATGTAAGATCTCTGGGAGATGTTTATGTAAGATCTCTGGGAGATGTTTATGTAAGATCTCTGGAAGATATTTACGTACGATCTCTGGAAGATATTTATGTAAGATCTCTGGAAGATATTTATGTAAGATCTCTGGAAGATATTTACGTAAGATCTCTGGAAGATACTTACGTAAGATCTCTGGAAGATATTTACGTACGATCTCTGGAAGATATTTATGTAAGTTCTCTCGAAGATATTTACGTAAGATCTCTGGAAGATACTTACGTAAGATCTTATGTAAGATCTCTGGGAAATGTTTACGTAAGACCTCTGGGAGATGTTTAATGGTCTATCTCGTCTCATGATCTCAGAGATATTTACGTAAGGTCTCAGAGATGTTTACTGGTCTCTCAATTTATCTCAGAGATATTGACCTACCTGGAGTCTACATGGAAGGTGTTGCGGGGGTCAGCGCCCCCCGCGGCTCGGTACATAACCAGACCTAGCGGTTATCTCAACTTGATATCCTAATGGAAACAACACTATGCAAAATATTTTAATGGCACATTTTTTGGCCAATAGCCACTTTTTTCTAATGGTTTTCCATAAAACTTTAATCGAAAATTTGTATACCACTTACTTTCAACTTCGTGAAATTATTATTTCTCAAAATTTCGAGAATCCTTTGATGAGAACGGAGACGTAAAAAGATGTAATGGTGTTTTCTGTGCAGCTTTGATCCGAGGAAATGTGACCCAGGGCCATGACTAAAATTATACACGTGGACAAAATTGGGTTTGCTTTTAAAGTGTGGCCACATGGTGGGCCAAGCGTGGCCACAGAGTTGGCCAAGCGTGGCCACAGTTATAGACGAGACTGGAAGGATTACGTCACTGCTGCAGCCTCCTTGGCCAGAGTATTAAAGGATAAGTGTCGACTCTTCTGTGATGATGCTGGATTATGATGATTATGATGATGATGATGATGATGATGATAGTTTGAGCGCGCGCGCGTATGTGTATGTGTATGTGTGTGGTGCGCGCGCGCGCGTGTGTGTGTGTGTGTGTGCGTGTGTGTGTGTGTGTGTGTGTGTGTGTGTGTGTGTGTGTGTGTGTGTGTGTGTGTGTGTGTACTCACCTAATTGTGGTTGCAGGGGTTGAGGCTCAGCTCCTGGCCCCGCCTCTTCAATGATCGCTACTAGGTCCTCTCTCTCTCTCTCTCTCTGCTTCCTGAGCTTTGTAATACTTGGTCTTAAAACTATGTATGGTTCCTGCCTCCACTACATCACTTGCTAGGTTATTTCACTTCCTGACGACTCTGTGACTGAAGAATTACTTCCTAACATCCCTGTGACTCGTCTGAGTCTCCAGCTTCCAATTGTGACCCTTTGTTTCTGTGTCCCCTCTCTGAAACATCCTGTGTGTGTGTGTGTGTGTGTGTGTGTGTGTGTGTGTGTGTGTGTGTGTGTGTGTGTGTGTGTGTGTGCGTGCGTGCGTGCGTGTGAATATATTAAGATATTTGGGAGTGGACTTGTCAACAGGTGGGTCTATGAAAGACGATGTGAGCCACAGAATTAACGAGGGAAAAAAAGGTGAATGTACCAAAGAGTCTGTGGAGACAAAGAACATTATCCATGGAAGCAATGAGGGTAACGTATGAGAGTATAGTGGTACCATGCTCTTATATGGGTGTGAAACATGGGTGGTGAATGTTGCAACAAGGAGAAGGCTGGAGGCAGTTTAAATGTCGTGTCAGAGTAATGCGCAATGTGAATATTATGCAGAGAATCTGTAGCATGGAGATTAGGAGGAGGTGCGGTGTTACTAAAAGTATAAATCTGTAGTGGAAGGAAGGCGGGATAGGGGTCGTCCTGGGAAAGGTTGGAGGGAAGGCGTAAAGGAGGTTTTGTGTGTGAGGGGCTTGGACTTCCAGCAAGTGTGCACGAGCGTGTTAGGAGCGAGTCCGAATTTTATTGCATCAAAAATGGAACACCACATGCAACAGGACGTCAATACGGATGCAAAAACGTAAACGTTTATAACAGTGAATACTGCCTGTACAGTAATAGGAATTTATGATTGGTTTAATTGCATTTTAAATCAGATTTTAGCCGCTAGTGTGCGTGAAGTGTCTTAAAGTGTGCGTAGCGAGGGTGTGTGAGTCCTGGTGACCCGTCACTGCTGTGTCTGGGATACCTGGTGTGTAAGTGTAGACTGGTCGACAGAGAGGTGTCGAGGGAGGTGTCGGCAGAGAGGTGATAGGAGAGTGAAGAGAGAGAGAGAGATCAGGAGGGAGAGAGGGATATTAGAAGAGAGAGGCACTAGGAAAGAGATATAAGGAGGGAGAGAGAGGTAAGAGAGGTATTAAGAAAGAGGCATCAGCACAGAGAGGTACTAGGAGAGAGGCATCAGGAGAGGTATTAGGATAGAGGCATCAGGAGAGAGAGGTATCGGGAGGGAGAGAGAGGGATTAGAAGATAGGCATCAGAAGAGAGAGGTATCAGGACAGAGGCATCAGAAGAGAGATATCAGGAGAGAGGGGTATCAGGAGAGAGGGAGAGGTATTAGGACAGAGGCATCAGGAGAGAGAGGTATCAGGAGAGAGAAGTGTCGAGAGAGACTTGTGTTAACAATAACTGGTGTGTTAATATTCATGTTAGCGGTTCACGGCTCCTTAACTAGTTATATATTCTGACATTATTACTACTGGTGGTGGTAGTTGTGGTTGAGGTGATGGTGGTTATGTGGTTATGGATGTTGTGATTATAGTGGTTGTGGTTGCAGATGTTGTTGTTGTTGATGTTGTTGGGGTTGTCGTTATTTTCAATGTTGCTGTTGTTTCTTTATTGTTATTGTTGCTGTTGCTATTGTTGCCTCTCCTGTTGTTGCCTCTCCTGTTGTTGCTGTTGTCTCTCCTGTTGTTGCTGTTGTCTCTCCTGTTGTTGCTATCTCTCCTGTTGTTGCTGTTGTCTCTCCTGATGTTGCTGTTATCTCCTGTTGTTGGAAATAAATGGTATAAAATACCGACACAATGGAAATATAAAATATATTATACTGCATTTGTGTTTATATTTCCATCTCCTGTTGTTACTGTTGTCTCTCCTGTTGTTGCTGTTATCTCTCCTGTTGTTGTCTCTCCTGGTGTTGCTATCTCTCCTGTTGCTGTTCTCTCTCTTGTTGTTGCTGTTATCTCCTGTTGTTGCTGTTGTCTCTCCTGTTGTTGCTATCTCCTGTTGCTGTTATCTCCTGTTGTTGCTGTTGTCTCTCCTGTTGTTGCTGTTGTCTCTCCTGTTGTTGCTGTTGTCTCCACGCTCCTCCTGCATGCGTTATTCCAGTCTGAAGGACTGACCACCTCTTATCTACATCACGACTTCCTTTATCTCTTTTCTACCTCGACTGAAGAAAGCTGCTGCCTCTAACCACTGGCCCAGTGGTTAGATTCTCGTGAATTTTGACTTGTTTCCCAAGAGGCGGGCAAAAAATAACGGGTTCGATCCCCGGCTAGTCGCACTTGGATAACTGGATTCATGTTAGACAAATTTAGGTTTAGAAAGGATATAGGAAGACACTAGTCTGGTAGGAGAGATGTGGTTGATCAGGCTGTTGCTGCCACCAGCAGCCCTGATCAACCAGGCTGTTGCTGCTGGTGGCCCATTGACCCACATATCCACCACAGCCTGATTGATCTGGCATAGCTGAAGTGAGTACTTTGCGTTGTTTCAAAAATATATTTGACATATATGATGCTAATAATAATAATAATAATAATAATAATAATAAATAATAATAATGATAATAATAATAATAAATGATAATAATAATAATAATAATAATAATAAACTACACAGAAAACCCTTTGTTATGCAGAACATTTCGGGCAAATTAGGCCAATTTCGTCCCCAGGATGCGACCCACATTAGTCGGCTAACACTCAGGTTGGTCAACATGGACAGGTGTCTTGGATGAAGTTCGCAGGTAGTGTCCCGGCCCGGGTCTTGTCCAGCTGGTGCCCCGGCGAGCAGATGTCCTTTCCACCCGTACTGGGGATCGAACCACGGACACTCACTGTGTGCAGTGAGAACATTGTCTACTAAAGACAGGCTCAAGTTTCACAAGTTTGCTGTTTTGAAACATCTACTGCATAAATATAAGCAATATTGTCGTGGTAATTTCCCTCAAGTGAATACAGTCGCTTGATTGTAATAACCACAAGTTGGCACCCCAACGCTGGTGCCAGGCACACCTGATATCCCAACGCTGGTGCCAGGCACAGCTGATACCCCAACGCTGGTGCCAGGCACAGCTGATACCCCAACGCTGGTGCCAGGCACACCTGATATCCCAACGCTGGTGCCAGGCACAGCTGATATCCCAACGCTGGTGCCAGGCACAGCTGATACCCCAACGCTGGTGCCAGGCACAGCTGATACCCCAACGCTGGTGCCAGGCACAGCTGATATCCCAACGCTGGTGCCAGGCACAGCTGATACCCCAACGCTGGTGCCAGGCACAGCTGATACCCCAACGCTGGTGCC